CTTCCTTGAATTACATTACACAGTGAACCATCTTTATTTGAAAGAAGTGTATCTCGATAATCATTCATAATATGATAAACTCCCGGAAGTTCAAGAAACAGTTTCAATGTACTTTCTACAGGTACAAAGTATCCAACATTTTTAATTAGGTCTAAAGATATTTTTTTGTCTTGTTTTTTCGGTGCAGTTCTTGTACCTATGACGAATTCCGTGGGATTAATAAAACATTTTGAGTTTGTAAAATACTTTTGTCTTTTATATTCCGTATTTAAGTTTTTGAACGGTTCTTCCAATACACTCAACATTTCTTTACAATTATCGCACTTTAAACTTGAACATGAGCAACAGTTTTTAATACTATTTATTGCGGATGAAACAAAGTCAGAAGTGAGAAGTATAATATCTTGTATTAGAGTCAAATTTAATTGAAGTTTACTATATAAAGATGAAACGAATTGGTCTATGTTTGATTGAAATAGTTTACAAAATTGTTCATTATGATCTCCTGATGAATTGTATGATGGTTCTCCAACATTTTCTAAGTTTGAAGTATTAACTGTATAAGGATCAGTAGCGTTTAGAGAATGTAACACATTTGTCGCAGTATTAGTTGCGGTATTAGGATTATTTTTCTGAACATGTTCTAAATTTAAATGCCTTTTAAACGCACCACGTGTGCTAAAAGTTCTATAGCAACAGGAAAAATTTACTATATTATGCTTATATGTTAGATGATTAATATAAATACTAGTATTGGAAAACGAGCAGTTACACTTTTGACATTTCATAATGACGCCAAAAACAGCAGGTCTTATAAATAGATAAACAATTATTTTGTCTTTTGTAACTGTATAAACTAATTAATGTCTTTTAATACCTCAATCAAGTCTAAGATATATGGAATCGTTTTATCTTGTGCAGTGTGCACCTCATACACACATTTCTGAATCAGTATCCATAGGTACTCAGATTGAGAGGGGTAACAGACATTCATAATATGAAAGATTTTAAAATTTAAATCTAATGCAGAAAGAACTGTATTGCACTTGTATCGTATTTTATCAACTATTACGTACGTTGCTGTAACATTCTTTAAAGAAGGTCCTACTACCAAAATATATGGTTGGATAGTCTGTTTTAAATTGTACATACGATCTTGGTATGATTGAATGTGGTCTTCGATGTCACCAGGGCCCTTAAAGAAAAAAAAACAATAAAAATAGATATTTGCATTTAATTAATTAGAGGTGTGATTGATCTAAAGTGAATATATGCGTAATTGACTTTTCAACAGTTCAAATAGCAAAATGATTCATTCTTTGCATGCACCCCTAGAAAACGTAATTAAAGTCATATAATGTCATAGTATCAGCATTATTAGCAACGTAAGACAGTTTTTACTGGCGACTGGAGCCAGTACCTATTACAAATATTAAATATATTACATAGATATTACAAATGTTACTAACGACATGCTTTATGTTTTACAAAAAAAAATTATTAACGTAGGTACTTTCAGTTTAGCAGCAGAAAAAAAGGTAAAACCAATACTGTAAACTTTAAATTAACTAAACTTACTTTGACATGTTGAATTAAACTTTCAAGAACCTCCGCGGCGGAAAACTTCCAATCTTTTTTATTGGGCAACTTTGTTCTTCCTTTTGGTGGAATTAGATTAGGTAACATGTGCAAATGCAGAGCTACCTTTGTATCTATAAAAAATGAGATAATTACATAAAATAGTCGTGATATGATTAATTGATTACCTTCGTTACAATTCTCTTCTAAATTTAGTATCTCTAAATACTGTAAGCCTGATCTTTCTTTCATAGAACTTCCTCGTAAGAGAATCAGTTTTTCCATAAAAGGGAACCAACGAATGTGAATATTAACACCTTTAGTTGGAAACATCACATCAAAATCTATATCAATCTAAAATGAAAAATTTGATTAATTCCATATACTAAGATCCAGGTTTAGAAAAGGAATACCAACTGAGTTGAGCGAGAATCCTGCAGTATTGGCCAATCTTTAAAAAACTCAGAAGCTGTTTTACTGGTTGATTGCCTCCTCAATTCCATTGTACTTTTCCAGTTCGTAACTACTTCATCCCATGGTTCTTTGCGTGTTTGTAACCAAATTTTAACCTTTCTTAGTGATTCGTCTAATTTTAATGCCGTGGTCGTTTCCAAAGTTTTAGAACTGTTTGCATTGATTTGTCTGTTTAGCCTTAAAAGGTTACGAACTTTGTCGACAAGCTTTCCTTTAGCTACTATTGGTTTATTAGTAACCGAATGCTTTTTTGAAATAGCTGGAACGTAATACGTACCAGATAGTTCTTTAGGAAAGAGTGTTATAATTTTAGCTGTTAGAATGTTGTAGTCACTATGACATACTCTATTTTTTTGCGCAAAATGAAAAATTTTTTTGCATATGATATCAACTAATAAAGATCTTTTACTATTGTTAAGCATTTGGTTTTTTTCATAATATGCTATTATCGTAGATCCTAACGGAGTGCAATCTAGCAATGTTTTTAAGTCAAATTCTGGAAGTGTAGACTGTGTAGATGCTTGAAATCCCTCCGTAGTAATATCAGTATCTTCTACCGGAATTACCTCTATTATGCGCACATCAGAAGAAGTGGATGGAATAGAAGATGAAGTGGATGGAACTGAAGATTGAGGGTCATCAATTAAGGTGGTATCGCCATCGTCATTCGTGTTCTACAAATAATTGCAAATATGTATTGCATATTCGAATGATCCAGTAAAGAGTACAAGAGTAGGAGTATAACTTAAATCTGATATGCTTTTCCTTTCGATAAAATGAAAAGAACAAAATCTCACAGAACTTTTATCATGTCTTATAAAAAATTAATTGTGAACTGGTTAACCTTAATTTGTGTATAATATCTACTTGAAAACGGCAGTCTTATTGTCAATAACTAATCAACAAAATTATCTACTGAAAAACAAAGTTGAAATATGCAAAAATACTTTTAGTCAATATATATTTACCCAATCTAAAATCATTGTTGGGGTTACCGATGATACAGAGGATTCTGAACTCGATTGTGGTTGCTCCATAGACTTCAGAGCCCTGCAAAATCTGGACCTTAGTCCCACGTATGGTATCAACTCTTTTATTTCCTCTCGAGACAATTTTACTGCTGTGTCTAAATCCACACCGTGTTCTGAAACGTATTAAATTATACAAGCATTTTGAGACAAAGAATAGAAATTAAAGAAATTGACAACTTAAAATCGCAACAGCTGCAAGTCCTTTATTAAATGATAACTAATAATTAAGTGGGTATCGATTATTAATTCCACTGTCGACTATACCTATACGCCACTGATCCCAATTTAAAAATGCATGCACAATATCGGATATCCCATTATCAGCCGTTACGAAACTAAGCTGCCTTGCACATTTATAAAAATTACACTTCCTTATGTGGGTAACAATAAATATAAATCAACTCACTTTGTAGTAGTGGCGCCAAACCCTCCAAATCATTACATTGCAAAAATAGTTCCATTTTGCTTGCTGTCTGATGACTAATTCGACGTAAGCTGTAGCGTGGAAAAATGTAGGTATACAGCCAGTTATGTTACAAGATATTAAATTATATTAAAACGTAATTTCAATTACTATATAATTCACTTTGGATCAATACAAAATAATATTTAAACTTACTGTGCGTAGGTACTAGGTACCTCTGTATGGTGTTCAGCAGATTCCAACAGGTCAGTCGACGGATACGTATTTCGCAGGAATCGCACTTCGCAGGTCGCTGAATCACAATTGAAATTGAAAACTAAGTATAAAAATATTCGAAGGCACTAAAACACGATTATTATTATTTCATAATTGATAGCATTTTATTCATCTTACTTTAATAAAATTGTATAATGAAGAGCACAACAAACTGAACAAACTATATTGAACAATAGCTGTGCCGCGTGGTATATCTGATCACGTTCACATCGCTATAGACACTAAGAGCTGCATTTTTTAAAACAATCGCACTTCTGTTTCTGTAACATTAGAGCTTGTTGATTTAAGCTCCATTTGATCTGATCAAGAGAATAACGATGTTTGTCATACAGAAATAATTAGTTGTTCTGACAATATTTTTTTTTGTTGATTTAAACAAACGGTTTTGTTAAACCTACTCACTATTTAATTTGACTTAACATTCCGTTCTGTGAATTAGTTTAACAAAATATTTTGTTCATTAAACAAAATGCTCTTTTAAGTCTAACATTATGTTGTTTGATCGAAATAAAAAATACATTTAAATGAAGAATATTGTTTTTTAGCGGCAATAACTGATAATACTTATTTAAAGCGAATAACGTATTAGACTAACCAAATTTTTTTTGAAGCAATGAAAAAATGTTAACATAAAAATTTGATTACTTTTAACAAAATATTTTTTACCGTGTGTCCTTGAGTCATAATCTTAAGCTAATTATTTCATCAGCTACGCTTTACGAAATTATCAATGGCGGCAGCTCTGGAGTAAATAGAATATAGGTATCGTTAAACTTTAGTTATAGCAAAATTTAAAATCTACTCATCTCAGGGCATAACGATAGTCGATGTAGTGAAACAGCCGGCTTTTGAATAGGTTGAGGTAATACTCAAAAGGTATATGGAATTGGTCAATGAAACGAAAAGTATGTATTCAAGTTTATCGTATCACCTTCAAAGTAGACCTCCTTCTAAAATAATACACTACCTATGCGCATACTAATTTTTGAAGGTCTTCAGACTTCGGGAACCCCCCCCCCCCCCGCAACGTACGCATTTTCAAAACTAATAGGGTGCTTTGATCGATAATAATACAAATCTATCAGCGGCCTGTACCAAATGTTTTACCCATATAATATCACGTTCTATAGAGGTATGGCGATATTGAATATAATGAGTGAAGGATGTAAATTTTTATTGTGTGTTTATCTGCATACCCCTTTGTATCGAACTTCCTATGACATCGTTTGTCATAGCTGTGCAATCTGTACAGGTTTCCTGTCTAAATGGATAGCAATAAATAAAACTCCTCCTAGAAATCGTTTGATAGTCATTTGTTACGAGGATGGCGGGTAAGAATGAGCTCTTTTCTATTTTTCATCAAACTTAATGTATGTAATTTTTCAGCTCAAGGTGCGGCCATCATCTTTGGACCATTGCAGACGGCCTATGGTAAATACACCACATATCTATCACACGTTTAACCATATATTTGTAGAACGAGAACTACGAGCATTAATTCAAGAGAAATATGCATCTGTAAGTACTTTTCATGCATCATACCGTATTTTAATTAGCTCTTATTTAGGAAAATGTTGCTATTTTACGGGGTCGGGGGGTTATCCCCGACTCCGTAAAGATAGAAGAAGGAGTATATCAACACAGGAGGTTCCAGGTCTATAAAGACCTGGAACTACAAAACACGTACTGGGTGTTTTATGTAAGTGTTATCGTTTCAATTATAATGTTTACTTCAATGAATTTTTTTCCAGAACTAATAAACCCGCATTAAATTTTGTTTTGTTTTACTTATCCACTCCATTCTGACTAAGCCCTTACCTAAAATAATAAGATGTAGTGATTAGGGTATTATCATTTCTTCCGTAAAACAAGTGTTCAGACACCTCCTCCCACCCAGCACGCGAAGGTAGAGCGCCTACTTAGAAATATGTATTATGGTAAACAAGATTATAGGTTAGAAAGGGGCCCTCTTACCACTTGTTGACAGTGAATACGGCAGGCATTCATACGTCTAAAGCTCTCTGCAGACGGGGACAACAGTGGCGTCCAGTAGTACTAGCCATTAATGGAGGCCAGTAATTATCCCTCTATTGTCCTCGTGTGCAAGGGTATTGCCGCTCCAACGTCCAGTAAGCTACTGGCGGCCACCAAAGTCAAACAGGTTTGAGTTTAGTGGACGCTGGGAGGGCTAGTTCGGGTCACGTGACCTAGTGGCTGTCATTATTGGACGTTGCTAAATGGGTACTGGCTGACAGTGCGTCGCCGGACTCTGCTGGGAGAGGAACTAATTCAGTGTTTTTGTTGCGAAATGTGTTCCAAACCTGAGGAAGTGAAGACGAGACCAAATGGGAGTGTGAAATGAGTGCGGACCATATAAATACATTTTTAGACATTTACGTAAATTACGAACTGCTATGGAACGTCCGTAATGCTGATTATACCAACAAGACGAAGAGGGAGAGTGCAATAATGAAGTTATTAAATGAATTAATAGAGGTAGGGGTTGCAGTGCCCGACTTGAGTTTTTTGAGAGCTCGTATAAAGGCAATAAAGGCCACATATCGGAGTGAACTCCTGAAAGTGAATGAATCCAAAAAAAGTGGAGCTGGTACTGACGATGTCTACGTCCCGAAATTACCCTGGTTCAGTGCAGCAGACAGTGTCTTAAGAGATGTGGTGATAACGAGAAAGTCAACATCGAATTTGGTAAGTTTGATTTAATTACTAATCAAATAAATAGTTGTACGTTTCCAAATTTACGATCAAATGGTAAATAAACAAGTAAGCTACATTTTAAGGTTACATGCCAATGGCCTTCATCTGCCAAGAAACTTGTCCTGCTCCGCTGAAGTGCTCAGCCAGTTTTGTCCTTGTTCCCGAAGCTTTTTTCGAATATGTGTTTGTCGAGCGAGCTCTTCTCAGTGATGGTAGTTCTGTTCCAGTCGAACGCCACTGCCCGGGATGAAGAACTCCTGTGTCAGTGTCTTCATGGTCAATCCATCCCCTTTCAAAATACGTTCCTGGCGAAGTTGTTCGCAACCAATTGTGGATAGTACATGTACATTGTACAATCAAATCGACAGTTTCTACATCCACTTCGATGTCTTTTCCAAATATTCTAAATCTTGCTGCCATTATTCCAAACGCATTTTCCACTACTCTTCGTGCACGCGATAAACGGTAGTTGTATATACGTTCCATTAGTGTCAAATTTCTTTTCGAAAAAGGCTTCATTAAGTTTGGTGATAAAGGGAACGCGTCATCACCCAAAATTAAATAGTCTTTAGGTAAATTTAGCTTTTCATTGTCCATGGCTGATTTCAATGAGGACAATCGGAATACACTTGCGTCATTGGCTCTTCCATTGGTTCCCACGTCTATGTACAAAAATTTACAATCTGCATCTACCAATGCCAAAGTATTATGCTGTAGCCTCCTTTGTAATTATAGAACTCAGAGGAACTCCCAGGCGGTCGTTTTATGGCTACATGCTTTCCGTCAATCGCTCCACAACATGAAGGAAAATTCCATTTTATTTCAAAATTCCTTTGTATGTCTAACCATTCTTTCGATGTTTGAGGCACCTAAAAAAATTATCCAAGTCACAATTTTTTCAATTTACATTTATTGGCAATGTTACAAAGTAAAATGTGCATAGAGTATTGTGATTTCGGTAAATTATTCGTTGTCTTATATTTTCAGGTTGAACCAGCTTCCAGCACTAAAGTTGGTCAGCTACCCGCGCACACTAACGAAGTTGGGACGGAAGAAGTAATTGAAGAATCTGAAATGGATCTAACTGAACACAACGTCGACAATCCGAAGGGAGAATTAGGCACATCACAATCCCAAGTTATGTCACACTTCCAAACCCCAGTCACAAAAAAACGCCGTATAAGCAAATTATCAAAAGTTGAGAGTGCAATTGACAAACTACAAAAAATATCTGAGAGTCGTTCGCCAGTGCCAATCAAAGCCCCATCCCACGAGGTTGATGTATTTGGAGCGTATGTAGCTGCTCAGTTAAGGGACCTTCCCATGAGGAACAGACTAAGTTGCCAAGACAAAATTCAAACTATGCTAACCAAAGAGAGGTTGAAATTGTTGGATCCCCCACGACCTCCACCTTCTCCGATGCTATCTGGAACCTCGTCCTACGGCTGTGATTCTGATGATGATGTTGAAACTCCTCGATTTATATCTGAAGGAGATTTACTCTACAGACAATTACACTGAATGGACATTTTCTGAAGAGCTAATTAGTATTTTTTCTGATTACAGAAACTTTATAATTTGCATTTTCTTTAATAATAAACTGTATTAAATAAAGTGTTGATTTTATTTTGTTAATCCCTTTTAAATGATTAGCACAAGTCCTAGCATTGTCTTCCCTGTACAATATAATACAGGCCTAATATTTTTAGGAAAATACAAGAAACCTTTTTAACAAGGAAACTGGCATTCTCTTGATTTCAGGCAATAGGAAAATATAACTGTTAAGGTATGTCTCATGGCGTGATCGAAGTATAAAATGGTTAAATACAACCACAAAATATTGTTAAATTTAAAAACTTCCTAAGCGCAAGTTGCTGCGATGGGCTTTTACAACTACAAATTTACAAGTTATCCCTACCAAGCAATAAGTTATGAACACTTACCTTCATATATTCTTGTAATGATGTTGTTATTGCTGTAAGTACTTCTGGCATAAAACTAGAAATAGTGTTTGCTGGTATTCGAAACATGATTGCTAGAGTTTGGTAACTGTCACCACTAGCCAAAAATCTTAAGGCAATCTCTAGTTTTGGACGGGCAGGAATTGCGTTTCTCATTAGCGTATCCTTTTTTTTAAATTTTAGGTTCAATTAGATTTAAAAGTTCGTTAAATTGTCCCACACTCATTCTTAAAATTCTCTTGAATTCCAGAGGATCCTCCTCGGCAAGTTCCCGAAATATTGTTGACGAAGCTCCGAGGCGATCTCTACGACCCACCCAGTCTTTCACCCAGCACGCCCTGTTTTTGGTTAATATTTCTTTCAGTTCATCACTTAAACAATGGACAGTTTCACTTATAGCTTCATCAACACCTTTCTCGTATTCTTCGTCAACCTCCTCCATGTTCAGACACATCATATTGACAATAATTAAATTACAGTAATGTAATAAGGTTACCCGAAACGTCACCACATCCACACAGCACAGACTAATGGCAGCCATTAAAGTACATAATACTGGAAGCCAATACTGCCCTCATGTGGAAGCCTACTGTTCAGCCAGTTCACTGGCTGCCACTTCTGGCCGCTAGTACTGGACGCCACTATTGTCCCCGTCTGCAGGGAGCTTAAGTGTATTATGTTCAATAGGTGATCATGTCCAGTATTATGACACTGACTCTATAATCTATATATCAGCGGAAGGACAACCCAATCCGCTAACAGGTAAATATTTAGGCAACTTAACGGCTGAATTAGAAGCTGAAGGTTCTGAGAGTTGGATTGAAGAAGAATTCGTGTCAGGTGGTTCAAAGGATTATACCTGCGGCGGATTTCCCTATACGCCAACTACGCCCTGGCGTTTGGCGGCGTACGGACGGTGGCGGCACCGAGTACACTTGACGCGACAACAGCTGTATGTCGGGTGCCGGCTATGGGCTACTTCAGCTACTTGAGATGTACCGAGAATTGATTATACCTACTCTTTTTCGTGGTTCGATTATTCGACTATTAAAAAGGTAGGCCTATTAGTTATTTTTTTATACACCCTGTGTAGAGAAATATCTAATGGGGAATCCTATAACGAGGCCGTAAACATCTCCAATAAATTGCATTATTTCTAGTGTGAATTTATTGCCTCCTGGGTGGTCATGGAAAGAGGTCTAACCAATAATAATTTAACCAAAGCTATACAAGGTAGATCGATAATTCGGTAACTATTGTTCCTCTTCTAGAATATACGCAGCTAAATGTCCATTTTACTATTTAACAATTACGTAATTATGCTATAATTGGGGATTTAATTTACGATTCAGGGTGATTAGACATAGGTACAATTTTCAGCAGGTATATATTCAGCTTCAGCATTCACCAAAAGTTCCATCCATAATCCCCTGTCACAGAGAGGGACCATATCCATATTACAATCACCCTAAGTTTATGGGTACGGTATTCATTTGATTGAATGATTCATTAAAAATTAAAAGTGCCACTTATTTAAAATACTTAGGTTATACCGGGTGAATCATTAGAACTGATGTCAGTTTGAATTTCGCGCGTACAATTCTAGTGTTTTTTACGGGATAGAATTGGCGATGATATATTTTTAGTTATTTTACTAATTCTTATTAGTCACCAGTGCCGTCGTTATTTCGTTAATTTGTTGTTGTTTTTAATTTACTTTTCCAATCTGTATTATCAAACAGTTCTTTCCAAACTACTAAATTCAAGAATTTGTTGAAGTAAGTAATTAAATAACGGTTAAATTAGACTAATGTGCATTTGTAGGTTAAAAATCCCCTTCTTGAAGATCCTCCAGTCCTGTCGAGAGCAGTTTATGGAAGGAAGAGTGTCCCGATCTTATTATTTCTTGCAAAGCATTTGCCAATCATAAGAAACGAATCGTTGATCGATTTGAAAACAAGAATTGCATTTGCAAAGAAGAAAAAACAGGTCATCCATTACTAAGAAACGATGAAGTGGTTGAAGACAAAGAACCTACTAACTTTATTTTCGAATTACAGGAGTGTCTTATGCAACATGCCAACGAATTTTCCATAAAGATCTACGAATACATACACCCGTACCGGGTTTCTGTTCTACAGCAACTGCCACGCTCTTGATTATGAGAATCGACGTAATTATTGTGATTGATTTAATAACAACGACTTATTTGTAAATCTCTCTCCTTGGAGAGTGATTCTACATTCACCACTGGAATTAGGCAAATGATAATCTATTATTACCAACCTTTAAAAATTTTTGTTTTGCGGGAAATTCAAACTGTCATCAGTTCTAATGAATCACCCGGTACTTACATTATAGATTTTACATACCTAAGTGTCATTAATTGCGAGTGAAGCGATCGAAAAAAATTTTCGTCCTATTTGGTAAGCTTGAAATAGGCGGTAAATTGCATCTGGCGTAGAACGCAAATGTGTAAATCCGCCGCTGGATTATACTTATAGATATTAAATTAAGAAGCTCACCTTATAATCAATATTATCGTTATATAAATGTAGATCCGAGAAAAATTGATTTAACTGAATACCAAACAAATTGATGTAATACATAATATTTCACAATGTTATCGCATTTATTTATCACAACTGTATTATCCTCTACTCCTGATCAATAAATGTAAAGTATAGATATTAATAATAATAATAAATCCGAACGCCGTTTAACCACGATGATGAAGACAATCCTCCATTGGAGTTTGATATCGTCTAAAAAGGTATCAATGTAGGTTTTTTATTACAAAATAATTTTGATACTTACGGTCCAACTCTGATGTAGACTATGTTTTCTGCTGTCGGCTTATTACTTATAAACGCCCATATAAAATAATCGCCGAATAAATACAATAAAATGTCACGCTTTTCATAAAACTGCAAATTATGCGCGCAAGGACACGTATCCCTAAGAAAAGTAAATTATAAGCAACTAAAAATTGAAAAAAGGCTTACCTGAGGTATATAAGCAGCCACCTGTCTATATACCCACATACACACTTATTGAAATCGGATTGCGGATGCACGCCGTTTTTAAATACTGCGGAACGTCGAATTTATAATTATATAGAACGTACTTCGCCGTAAAGATATACACATTTCCTATTTCCATCATATTTCCCACCTTTTTAAGGGAGATTTTCGAACTTTACGCATTCATACACAATAAATACCCGTATATAGGTGTCGGTATGGAAATGAAATGGGATAAACTACCATATCAAATTCGCGAGCACTCACTGCTATAAGTAAACACTATCGCAAGATTGAAACTTCCCATACCAATTATTAGAATCATGAAATCTGCGAACTCTGTTCTCTTTGAGGATAGCTTCTACGTCTTACTACAAAAACCAGGGGGGGCTGCCCTAGACCCTAAGAGCTACTATATAAAACTAGGGGTAGTTCCTTGGGGATAGGATTAGGGGTTAGCTCCCCCACCCGATAGCGGAAGCTATCGCTCCTACGAAATAGCTCACATCGGTATCTACAGCTCCTGACGCTGATGCTATAATTAAATACTATCGAATTATTGCGAGATTGCAGCATCCTCTCCCATAACCGCGGTTATTTTTTCTCTAACTGATAACGCATTTACATCCGTGCTTATTTAGCTGCAAATGTCGAGTGAGTAACATCTTCATATTGCTTTCGCAACTTAATAGTTATTATTTTAGATCAAGAAATGTGCAATCATTTTTGCGAGGAGTCGAGGTAAACCTGCATGTATATTACTATACGTTTTAACCGTATATTTGTAGAACAAGAAACTACTATTATTTTCGGCGGGATAAACCCAGCGAGGTATAAAACCACCATGTATTACGTTTTAATTATATACCTATGTGTAGAACGGAGCGGGGGATTTCCAATTATGAATAACAATGCTGTCATTAAAAAATGGGCGTTGCTGTCGTCGAGGCTCTCTTCGCCACAAATTTTATGTAACTATGTAAGTAAGCGCTTTAATTATAATAATAAACTTCAAATCGATATTTCAGATCTAAATAAAAACACTCTACATTTTGTTGTTGTTGTTTTATTTCCCTACCCGCCCCTGTTCTGGTTGTAGGTTAGAATGGGGCCCCCTTGTGTATGTCTCTCAAATGGGGGAGCTACCTCCGAGATGGAATGATAGGTTAGAATTCTCCTCCCTTGCATCTCTCTCCTGAACCCTCGTATCTAACCGTTTGATGTCTCATCAATGCCGGGGCGCCGGTTGAAATTATACTTTCCTATACCTATACGAATCCTAATAGATGGCGACTCCGTTCCGTTAAAATAGGTTCGATATAAATACAACTATCCAAGCATTATACCATAATAGTCTAATTAGCTCAGCGGTTATGCTATAGGACTTGTAATCCAATGGTTGACGGTTCGAATCCGTTCCATTTAAAAAAAAATTTTCAGGGTACGAAGGGGTCGAAGTTTGAGGATTCCAAGATGGCGTCTAAGAACTTGAGGCTTCCAAGAACTTGAGGATTCCAAGATGGCGTCCAAGAACTTGAGGATTTCAAAGGGTAAGCCCTTTGAATAGCAGAAATCTATCTGCTTCTTTTTTGCCTCGTCAATGTCCGCAGGAGTTTTCACATGAACCAGTAGAGCATCACGTGCTTCAGAAATTGAGGGTTTCCAGCAGATTTTTGTTTTTTGTTTGGCTCGTCCGCGACATTGAGTTAGAAAACTAATGGAGGGAATCAAATGCTTGGCCAGGCGTAGACCACGGGAACCAAAAGTGGCCTCTAGCTGTGATTAAAGTACCACACCACTTCCGTTATCATTAGCGTCTCACTTCAGTGGCGTAGAGATATAATTTTCTTTCCACTAATAGAAATAATAACAAAAAAAACGTATAGAAGGAGTAAAATACATGCTCGTGGTAAAGTAAACAAAATAGACAAAGATGGGAAAGTATGCAGATTTAATATAATCATGGATTACAAATCTAAATATACATCGATGTGTTCCAGTAGTATAATTAAGGCCAGTTTACTATAGCCACTACAACTTGACAACTCCCATTAAATTCACTGTGTTGATCAATAGCTACAATTGACTGGTTGGTCTCAGGTTCATTACAACGGCAGAGAGATTCAATAATTATTTATTGTTTATTGTTCTCAAAATGTATCCGCACTCGTAAAAAAACTTACACCTGATATCCATATTATAAACTCACACGTTTAGCTGTAAAAACAAGTTTTGATAGTACCTACTGCATATTTGATGAACATTCTCCGCCTTTCCGGTGCAACCTTTGGTCGAAATCACAGTCAATGAAGCGTTGTGAGCACAAAAGCAAATTTGGAGAGCTGTTCTTGAGATATATTTACAAATGTTAGGTAACCATTTTGCTCGAAGTACTGGCTCGTTTGGAAAACTAAGAAACATAAACTGGGTACCTACAACCTCGCCTACAACATGATAAATGACATGCGGCAGTTAGTTATTTATATAAACCAGAGCACAAACCGATCCGAAATTATTAGGTACTTTAAAATTGCAAATTTAATAAAATTTGAATTTGGTGGAAAACTGACGGTGACAGGACCCGCGTTTTCATATGTCAAATAATGTCGGCCAAAATGTACCTTCACGGGAACCTATCCACGCGAGTGGCCTCTATCTGTGGCAACTTCCGTCTACAAAAATTCTTACCCCCTCTACCATTATATTTCCTCCATTAGTTTTCTAACTCAATGGTCCGCGAGGAGGCACAAGTGATGGAAACAGAAATAACTGAACAGCAATTTTTGAATCTGAAACGACATAACTTGATAAGGCTTATTTTAAATTAGGATTTCGGGTAAACAGTAAAATGTAATTAAAAAAACTCGCCAGTAAAATGACATTACTTGACTCGGCAATTAAGGTACTCGGCCCCACGTACTTCAATATTGTGTCAATAATATGTCATTTTCCTGACTTTTATGTAAATATGTAACTATTATATGAAAATAAATGCCTTGGAAAACACTCACCAATGGTTATTTCCGTATCCAGTAGACTCTTAATTGTGCAGTCAGCTACACTTAAATACTTCTTTTTCTTTTCATAAATAGATTGGAATATTCCATCAAATTTTGCTGCAACATCTAGATCCTTATTGCATGCATGGATTTGTCCAAAGTCATAATTGATCTACAAAAATCATTTGATAAAAGGTTTTTATTTAATATCACCCTTGGTAAATCAAAAATAGCATGAAAGATGATAAACTAGAAAATAAATAAGGAGATTTACCAATTCTGGGGCAATGTCAGTGTGAATTATTGGCCATTTAACAAAGAATTCTGAGATAGTCGCTGTATTGTCGTTTTCAATATACCTCAGAGGGTAGGATAGTCGCCAGTGATTTAGAACTTCTGATTTCGGTTAGAATTTTTTGTTAGCCATATCTGGCTATCAATTACACATTGCTCGTATACTAAAAAGTGATAATGTAAATCATATTTCAACAGTGCAATCTTATTTAGCTTACCCTCATGGGATGTGCTGTTAGTTTTCTCAGGAGAAAGTGATTTCTCAAGCTTCCGAATCAGATGCAGTTTATTGCGATATTTTTCAATAAGAATTATAATGTCGCAAAAATCTCGCGAAAAGGATTTGAATTTATATAAATTCGATTTAACTAATCCGTGCAAATTAGTTATTTATGTACAACTTCCCTGCCCCACCCTGTATTAAGGGCATAATAGTGATGTTTATATTCTCGAGGACGACAAGTTAAAAAGCTCGAGGGCCTATGGCCCGAGAGCTTTTTAGTCGCCTGAGAGTATAAACATCAGTTTATGCCCGTGGTACATACACAATTTTATGTTTTACAAATAGTTTTCTTCGTCAAAATTCGTTTACAAAATAATTCATTATTATGCTTATTATCTTGCTGGCTTCAGACTTATTTCCTAAGGAATATTTTTTTTTTAATTTGGCTTCAATGGAAATATGTCGTTCATTCTCTTCCTGTTAAAATGTTTTTACTAACTTTTCAGGAAACTTACTCTAAAATGTGATTGACGTTAAATTTTCCTTAAATCTATTAAGTAGGGTGTCACTAATTGTCCTGATATTCGGTTCTCTATCGTTGTTTGTTAAGTGTTGTATTTTTTCCTTTTTTGATATAAAGCGTCACCAAGAAAATCTTTTCTTAAAATGGCATTAACATCAATGGCTTCAATACAGCCTGTTGGTAGAGACGATAGGGAAAAGTCTGAATCGATGGTTACTGTACTTGATGTCTCTTCTGAAGCGGAATATGACACAGCAGATGGTCCAGGTAATGGCTCGGAGGAAGGCTCATCAATATGATTCTCTAAATTTGTGTTTGATAAAAATATCAAAGGTACATTCGCTAAACCATTTAAGTTGTCAAAAGCCAAATTACCATCATTTTCGTTACTTATATGATAGTTCTCCTTAGACTTTTTCTGAGGAGGTTCTTCAACATGATCCTAAAAACAAACAAAAACTAAATAGTTGGTCAACCCTATATAAATCAATATATGTTACAGGGTGTCTCAAAGTCACCTTTACAATAGATTATCATATTAAGGTCGATAATATGTTATAACAGTTCCGAATATATCTTCGTTTTCCAAAACATATAATGTTAAAAGCCGGAAACATATATAGGTGACGCGAAGCGACGCAACGCTACGCGACGTTACGCCATATTTTCGTTATTTTTCCTGTGTGTGCATATTTGAACGATGCGACGCGCCGTCACGCAACGGAACGCCACTTCACTTACCATAAAATACATACAGTCATCTCCAGTTCATCAAAAGTAACAGACGACATAAGATGGATTTGGGTAGTTCCGATGAATACGAAGAAGAAATTGAGGAAGCGTGCGTGGCTATTATGTGCATAGAAGCGCATTGTAAAAGAAGAAGTGTGTGGGTACACGAAATTAATTTGAATAGAGAAAACGATGGTGAATATCATACCTTAATTAAGATTTTGGAAAAAGAAGAGAATAGTGATCGATTCCACATGTACTTTCGTATGAGCAAGAATCAGTTCAATTATCTCCACGATTTAATCAAAGACAAGATTAGAAAAATTGACTCAAAATTTCGACGCGCAATTGGAACCAAAGAAAGACTAGCTGTTTGCTTAAGGTAAGTTACGTTTAATAACAAATTTACAACATTTATTTACAAATTATGGTATTGGTTCATGTCCCCAAAATAATTTGAATAGTGCACTTGTTCTGTGTACGAGCTTTGATCCACATTTGGACTAGGAGCAGACGACGAAGTGAAAGTTGACATGGAGGAGGAAGAAGTGGAACGTTCCGGAATTCCTTGTAGACCCCTAATTTCCGCTTCTGACACCAACTGACATAATGCCATACGAATCTTCGCCTGCTCCAATTGAGGTAGACGTTTTACAGTTTTCGCCATGCTCAAGTAAAACATATCCACCTCATCATGTTTTATGTTATTCTCATGCCGCTTGATTCGCATTTCGGCATTCCTTTTCATTATTTGCACCATCTCTTGCGCAGGATTCTGATGCTTACGCATCTTCACTGGCGTTACGCGAGTTGGTGTCTTGTTCTCTCCACCCTCATGCTCCTGGGTTTGAGAGACCTCTTCAGAGTCCAGTGTATCTTCAGGATCCTCTTCTTCCACATTGGTTACTTTTTCTAAGTTGCTTGATGTCTCTCTCATTTCCAAAAAAGGAATTAAAAAAGACATTTCTTGTTCATACTTCCAAGCAGCAATCTTTCTTGCTGATTGACCGCTTTTTGTTTTTCTTCTTTTCTTCGCCGCTATAAACGCGTTTCTTAACTTCACCCACAAAGCTTTCACTGCATCCGCTAAAACATAAAAGAAACATCATTAACAATTGGTATATCTGATTTTCAGATTTTTGGCTAC